TGATTCAAACTACAGCACACTGTAAAAACATTCAGTGATTCAAACTACAGCACACTGTAAAAACATTCAGTGATTCAAACTACAGCACGCTGTTAAAACATTCAGTGGTTCAAACTACAGTACGCTGTTAAAACATTCAATGATTCAAACTACAGCACATTATAAAAACATTCAGTGATTCAAACTACAGCACACTATAAAAACATTCAGTGATTCAAACTACAGCACACTATAAAAACATTCAGTGATTCAAACTACAGTACGCTGTTAAAACATTCAATGATTCAAACTACAGCACACTATAAAAACATTCAGTGATTCAAACTACAGCACACTGTAAAAACATTCAGTGATTCAAACTACAGCACGCTGTTAAAACATTCAGTGATTGAAACTGCAGCACACTATAAAACTATTCAGTGATTTAAACTACAGCACCTGTTAAGACATTCAGTGATTCAAACTACAGCACGCTGTTAAAACATTCAGTGATTCAAACTACAGCACACTATAAAAACATTCAGTGGTTCAAACTACAGCACGCTGTTAAAACGTTCATTGTTTCAAAGTAACCTACAAAGTTAACACATAGTGTTTCAAATTAGACTTAATTCCACTCTTAGAAACAATAACTGACAGAAACGGTTGACTACAGAGAAGTGACAAATTATCATGAAGACTAGCTTGAAAAAAATATTAATCCTATCCAAATAACGTTCATTTAACTCTAGCCTATTTCCATAAATATGTTCACAGAAGGGCATTTTTAAAATTAAACGTCTCTTCTCGCAGAAACAAAAACTAAGTCATTGAATTCTTGAAAATAACGTTTCTCTGATCTGTAAACTTCAAGCAACCAGTGGATAATGGTGTATTGATTGAAAATATGTTAGCATATTAGGGTTAAGCAAGTTCACTCTTTAGATTTAAGATTCAATTGAAACCCCTTTCAATATTCGTGTACATTGTAAAATGACCTACAATAAGTCGTATTGTTTTGAAAATTGTTTTTCTTTTGGTACAATGCAAGATAAAATTTTTATTAAAAATTTCAGCCGGGCCACTGTGTTACTGACACTACTTGGCTGAACTTTTCATGATGAACTATCGACGGGCCACTGTGTTACTGAAAACATAACAAAGCTATGTAAATAACTTATCTACAATAAGAATGAACCAATGTATATATAAAGATATGTAAAGATCCTTATGACACAATTGGGGTAAATGTAGCCCCTTCTTTTTTCCTTGCAACAAGGGACTAGGAGAAGCTAATAAAGGACACGTTCGAACCAATTCCATCTTGTGGACCATAGAAATTTTCTTATCTAAGTCTTCACACCTTTATACAACTTTCTATTTTCTAGGTATGATCTTTGTTTGGGTGGTCCCATATCGCTGCTCTGTTTTAAGCTGTAATTTTCTCTCCCCCCCCCCCCAAAAAAGGCCTGCTCTTAATTACAATATTTTATGTGAAGAAACTTATTTTTTAACAAATTTGACCAGCTCATCTGCAGGATAAAGCATTTAAATTACAATGAAATATAAGGTATTGTTGATTAGTAGTGCTGCCATCTGTTTGAAAATATTAGTACTAGTTTTAACAACTTTACAGGGTGCTGAAGCAAAAAACAAAACAAAAAATTATCGGTATGATATTAATTCTCAGAAGTTACGAGTGCAAATAAAGCAGAATATGTTATAATTTGTCAAACACTCGCAATATACAGTTCCTACGAGGCATTTCGCTTCATACCAGAGCTCATCAGAATGACTAGGATATTAAATTACTTTGTATGCGATGGTAAAGAGCTAAGACTTGTGTAGACGTTAGGATAGTGGCACCACAACATTTAGAACAATAACTATTTGATTTGGCTGTGGACTTGTTTAATTTTTTAAAAATGTAATTCTTAGTTCTTCTGCACTTTAACTTAAACTGTTTTGTGGTTCATTTGTTTAGTTTCCCATTTCTTCCGAGAAAGTTTTAAACTTGGAAATAATTATTTTTCGAAGTCAACGAAGCTTTGGTTTCTAAAACCACTGCTTCTAGAACGTGACTATAAGTTACTGAAACGTCGTTACTATATAAAAAATAAAATTTTAAAGGTGGTATTGATCGCAGATTTATGCTAATTCTGTATCTATGATCTTTTATTCAAAAAAAAAAAAAATGTAGCTATGAATACGTATTATACTATTGAATAATAAGCTTGGGTGACCACTGGTCAAACTTCTCGAATCTACCAATTTTTTCTCTTCCCTGAAATACGTTCATATTCGTTGTTTTCAATATTATTGTATTTTTAAACTTTGGTAAAACGTGTTATTTTCTATCGGTATTGAAACAAACTTATGATCGTTTAGGTTATTTACGGTCTTAATTAGTGTACGAACTTTTAGTAACGAAGTATGATCAGTTGTATATTCTTTGGGTTTGAAGTTGGTAGGTAACAAATGTACTAGCCTTATTGTAGATTATGTAATATTTCAATACGGTATATTTTGTGTGTATTATGTAACACATTCGTGTACCTCACTTGTTAATGATTCTTTGCATCGTCGATGTTCATTTTGTACACTAGAAGCTTTCATAATGATGCAAATATAAGTTGGTCCAATACTTTGAAAGGTACAGACACATTTAAGTTGGTGACGAGTTGTTATTGGTAAGTCATGTTTAATTTCTGTTCCTAAAAAATTCTCACCTGATAACTCTGAAGGTAACAGAAAGTGATGATAATTTGGGGACTTGAGGGTTTAATGTCAAAACTTCTCTCTTTTAAACGCTTGCTCGTGTCTTATCTCCTGAAGATCGTTCCTAATCTTTAGAGAAATAATTACCAATTAATTCCCCCACCCTCCAGAAACACTCGCAAATCTTCTGTAGTACATATACAGTTTTCTACTTAAGTTTTAGATGCCGTTTTTAATAAGATGGTTTGTCCATTAACGTCTGACAACTCGTTTATATACGAGCACACAGACACTTCTGGTTTGTATCCGTATCCCCTGTCCATTGTTTGTATGTTCGACGCAAACGTGTAAACGTACAGAAGTGATTAAACAACTTTTCAAACGCCCCCTATCTTTTTCTGTATATGACACTGTATAACGATTGGTGGACTCTCAAAGGATGCAATGGAACATTATATAGAAATTTTCCATAATGCCTCAAATGAACAACTTTTGTCTGTTTCTAGCGATTAACACAAAGTCGTTATCTGAAGGAGGTGCTGTGTGATGATCTGGTAAAGTTTTTTAATAAACAAACTAAATATGTTAAAGCTTTAATTGTACATTATCTTTATTTTAGTTGTGCTTAGCGTAGTTTTTTTTTTTAATTTAAACAATTTACAATAAAATCGCCTTTGTATTTTGCACTGTGTTACCACGATTTGTAAACATGTATTTTTATGTTATTTGCGATTGAAAGAGAAATAATAAATATATTGTTGATCTAATCCTTTCTTCAATGTCATATTTTACTTGTTTCAAATATTATTTTGAAAATAAACTTCCATTGTTGTATACGAAAACTTGTGGGTGTGTTCGTTTCCTGTTGATTCTGTAGTTCGATCGTAATTATTATTGTCTGTTATATAATTGTTCACTAGAAATCCGTCCATACTTAATGATGTGAGAGAAAAAGACGACTTTACTCTAATTCTGTTAATGTGGTGTCAGGTTTTAACGTATGTATGGGCCAGATTCTTTACAGTAGGTGTCTGTGACTTGTTGGCGATTAAATTTCAACAATAAACAAACAGCACACAGTCCACTTGTTTTAAAATAATATATTAAAACAGGTCAAACGTATATAGAGATGTTCGATACGCAATTAATCACCATAGTTGTATCCAGAGCTATAAATAATTCCTTTTTTGTTGTTGTCAAAGTCCACACAGACTGGTTCAATTACTTCAGAACACAATTGACGAGACAAATTATTTCTTATCTACTCTGTTATTACAATACAGTCTGTGATAATTTCACTTTAAACATCGCCACTATACACTTTATGGCTAAACTCAATCTTGCCGCCTAGTTCTAACTAACTCTATAACTCGAGCTACATTTGGTATGCGTATTTATAGCGTGACTGAGGCCTAGAATGTACTACACACTTCGAGATTTTATGATGCAATAATACTCAATCGAACCAATGGGAAAACTTGTAAGGTTCTAGTAACATGACGTAATAATACAATCGCTATTCATCACAGTTACGTAAACAAACCTGCGATAAACTATCTAAAAAATACCTATATTTAACACTCGTGCTATACTTCATCTACAAGGGATAAACAGCCAGGTCAGTGACTCCGAGCCGTATTCCTTTATTTTACAATTTTTAATTCCAAAATTAAACTATTTAGTTTGGAAGCAAGTACTATTGCAGTTTATATATATCACCGGTAGATGGTGCCACTGACAAAATTTTCTCAAAATCAAGTACGTTCTAATGCGTATTGATCACGTGAATAGGTTGTTAATTGTTAAGCGCAAAGCAAGACAACGAACGGGCTATCTGTGCTCTGCCAACCGCAGGTACCTAAACCCAATTTTTAGTCTCATGAGCCTTCAGACTTATCGGTGGATTAGATAGATAGATAGATAAAAGCAACCTGTCCCAAGTATTCAAGAAACAGTAATAATACTACTAATAAAAGGTAATAACCATTTATATATAGAGAGAAAGAATGATCAAACATTAGTTTTGTGATCGTAGAGTGCTTCCCTACGATCTTTTGTGATTCTAAAACATTTCTTCAACTTAACAATAGCTTTAATTTCCCTAAAGAATTTTGATATCATATCCTCAAGAGTAAAAACAAAAACGAGTTTTTTTGGCATAACGAAGGATAAAATCTTTATTAAAAGTTCAGCCAAGTAGACCTTCATTTTTCTGGGGGGGTGGATATCACACCTTTACATGGATGGTGCTTATAATGTTATGTGGCTTCATTTTTCTGGGGATACGTACAACGTTTGACCGCTAGTGTGGTGTTCCTACGTTAGAGTACGTACAACGTTTGACCGCTAGTGTGATGTTCCTACGTTGGAGTACGTACAACGTTTGACCACTAATTTTCGTTGATGTTCCTACGTTGGAGTACGTACAACGTTTGACCACTAATTTTCGTTGATGTTTGTCATTGAAACACTCCATGCACACTGTAGGCTGCCCATCACAATTCTTGAACTATTATCATCCACAGTAGGGAATATTTTATCTGATGTCCCTTTTTTTACGACCGTAAAATTGTGAAGTATTCATAATTCTTCTAAAAAAAACATTGATGGTTCACTCGAGAGAGCTGTCAATGGAGTCCTTCGGTCGTAAAACTTAACGTAAAGTCATAAAATTAGTAGTATCTAAGACACTTAACAATGAGGGTTAAATTAAGCAGTGAAAATGTTAAGTTGTACAGCTGCTTGGTTCTGTGATATTTTTGTCTAAGTGGGAAGATTAGTATGTTGGTCTTGTCTCAGTTTCTATTTGAAAATATTAAAATTTTTAGAACTGTAATGAAACATACAAAAGTTGATTTGTAGTAGTTGACATTTTTTAATTGTTAGAAACAATTTCAACTTGTTTTTATAAACCTGTTTAAAAACAACCAAAGATAAAAGTAAATCATAAATCACGTGAAACTTATTTTTCAGATATATATATATGTGTGCAATGGTAATGTTTTTTCTCTTCTCCTGCATAGAGATATCTGCCATAATGTACAGTCCGATCCTCACTTCGTCTCTTCTGTCCGATCACGAAAGCTCGTGCAGACAAAGACCGTACTTGCTAATGGAAAAGCAGTTAAAGCTGGGCATTAAGCAGTCTTTCTTTTCGTTTTCTTCCTGTTATTAGTATTTTTTGTAGTTTTAATGAATGAATGAATGGGTGATTTCAAGCAATCTCCTCTTTTCTCTTCCAAACAAACAGTGTATTTGTTTCATCCTTTGGTTCGTGTAATTTTAAGATTATAAAGCCACTGGAATCCAGATTTTGTGAGTAATGGAGGGGGGTGGGAAGAGCAGTTTTATGATTAGCAGTACGTATCCAATCACTTCTGTATTGCATTTTATCGTGTGATTTATAAAACCAATCATTATCAACATTTTTATGGGTTATGTATGTATCTTTTTTTTTTCTGTATGCCATTACTCATTTTGGGTGATTATATAGCACCACCAGTGTAGAAATGTGAAAACTTCCTCTTTCAATTCTTCCCAATGTGGGGGAGAAAAAACTTGCAATCTGCGTACATAAAGGCGACTAAAAACAAGTTATTGCTTTTTAAGAAATTAACTAAGCACTAGTTTCAATGCACATGTCTTTAAGGGTTCTATTCTAAATACTCTGACATGTGGTATTGAAACACTAGCCAGATAATATACAAAATGTGTGCATTATGGAATTTTTTTTTCCTCCTTGAGAGCAGTGTGTGTGTGTGTGATTCACATTATGTCATGTAACTGATAATTTGAGACAGGATCTTACCTCGGACTAAATAGCAGCTTCATTGTTATGTATATCTTTTAAAAGTTGGTGCTGTTTTATTGTTTACAGTTTACATTATATAACCAATATTATCCTGCCAGTAACAAAGTAGATTGCTTACATGGACAATACAAATTTATATTTTTATCCAAAATGTACGTTTTTAAATATTTCATCTGTATGATAATAAGTGTTTGTCCTTTTTATTTTTTGTTGTTTAATTTCAGAAATATTATACCAAAAAAAAAGTTGCTTGTCTAATGTTTATAAACAAAGTAAACATTTATAAAGATTTGTATGTATAATTTTTAAATTCTTGAGACTAACGTGGTCATAGGAAATGAATTTTATGCCTTCCATGTAAGTTAATTATGTGCAGGTAGTGTAAAGTTTATATATAGTAATTAGACGTCAATTAATCTGCTGAAAATGAGTAGATGATTGCTTGAAACGTATTCTGAACTAAATATTTTCTTCTGTCTTTCATTTAACCTTTCGAAAAGTACTCGCACGTATTTAATATTGTAGTGATATAAAAGAAATAATGTCCAATCGATGACTCGGCCACGTAAGTTACTCCATATATTGATGTTTAAATAAGTGAAATACTATAATATTCAGAAAAGGAGATACAGTTCTTATTACATAGAATCTGATGCAAATATTAAAGGATTTGTATTTAAGGAAATGAAATAACAAAGCTTGTTTTGTGTCCTCGTAATGGATGGAACATTGTCTTAGAAGTAAAATAACCATGGTATAAAACCTACAAATCTGAGTTCCTTAAAATGTTTACTATTTTTAAGTGGTTGCCAATAATTTTAAATTTGTCATTTGTATCAATTGACAAAGTTCTATAAAATTAAATTAAAAACTTTAAACTGTCGGAAATCCTTTTTATGTCTAGGGTAAGCTGAACTTTATAACATTTGTGAAACTGAAATGACTTTGGTTTAATGGTCCTATGTGATTTTTCACCCACTATTTAAAGGTGGTTTTGTTTCTTAATTAAAATGAGATGTCTGATTTGTCTCTTTTTTATTTTTCTTTCTGTATCTGTGTCTATTTCTAAGTACGATTCGTGCATTGATAACTATTAGTATGGCTAAGTTCTCACATTAAATGTTCCGTCTGTCTTTTTATGCACAGGAATTATTCAATTTTCCAATGTCATTTTTATAGATAACCTTTCTTCAGCAATATTAATTATGAAAACTGTTTAGCATTGTATATATATTCTTGTGTAAAACGTACATGACTTCCCTGCTTAAGAAAATGAAAAGTAGTTAACATTGTCTCTTACTTGTATTCACACATCAAATTCTGTAAATATTAATTTGGTCCACTTTAATTTTTACTTTTCTGCACCTTAAAATCCCGAGATTTTATGACAGTTGTAATTACATTAATGTGAGGAATAGCTGGGGACTTTATGCTCTGAACAATCTTGTAACATTTTAATTTCTTGTTTACTTTTTGAATTATTAAAACATATTTCATTCACTAACAACAAGACAAAAATCGATAATCTCAAATCTAGTCGTATAATCTTGATTTCTTACCAGAAAATTTCTTATTGTTCAAAGCACAAACTGTTTAATTATTTTATCATTTAAATGAGAGACGGAATTTTTGTAATGGCCGTGTTTTTCTAAGAAGGGAAAACAAAAACTGGACCCGTGATATTTTTTTCTAAGCTTATGTTGGAATATTCATTGTTTTAGTTTTGAGATTGTGAGGTAATCACGATCTTTTGACTAGAGAATAAAACTGTGCTGTTGGAACTTCTTAAAATTCTGTTAGCTTCTTCTGAAAACACGACTTTTCTCGCAACTCCAGTTCCTAACTATTATAAATTTTATGAAGATTTAAAAGTTCTAGCTGCTTTTATTTTTCTAATTGGAAATAATTTAATATAAACATAAGCAGAAAAATTATCTAATTAAATATTACTTGTGAACAAGTTGTTTTTTTTATTGCAGCATAAATTTCTTTTTTTCAACCATTCTTCTGTAATGTGAAAAATATTTAAAACATCATACAAACCATGAAATGTTAAGAGAAATTACAAGCGAAAGAGGGAGATTTTTTTTTTTTTTTCAAAGTTAGATTAGTAACAAATCTAAATATTTTTTAACGTGATAAGATTGGATAATTCTTATATATTTTTTTACCATTGGGAAATAGAGACGAGAACTATTTTTATACCAAGTACTAATGAGAATGTGAATAAATGCCTTTCACGTGATTAGTCATGTGTTATTTAAATTGATGTGATAATGGAGAGATTTTCCGCTAATAATTATGAGATAAGGTTTTTAAAAAAAAAATATTTTTTTGCTTCATCACTGATGATTTGATTAGTTTGTAATCTGGTTTTATTTGAGAACAGCTTTTGTTATGACTTTTTTTTGGTGTCAAAATATGTGTGTTTGTAGTTATCTTTTGATTTTCTAATCAGCCCTGTGGCTTAGTGGTTAGTACCCCCGATTGTGGACCCCGAGGATCAATGATTTTTGCCTGCTGCTGCTGATCCCCTCAAAAACAAGCACTCCTCACCTTGAGGATGTAGGTGTGTTATAAGAGTGATAGTCAAATTCCATTATTCAATTAGAGTAGCCCAAGAGTTACTGGTGGGTGTTTTTGACTTGCTGCCTTCCTTCTAGTATATTTAAATTAAGATATTATTAGTGTGTGTGTGTGTGTGTGTGTATTGCTTTGTGGAAGTGTCTGAAACAACTCGTTCTTCAACAGTCCAAACTATTTATGTAAATCAAGGAAATCGTTAGAACTCGATGATATTATAAATAAATACTTTGATATTAAACTAAAGAAACCTGTAACAGTGGTTGTTACAGTGAGTTGAATATTTTAGTGTTGTTTCAATATTTACAAACTTTGAAAAACTTGTTACTTTGAAGCTCTTGTCCCATCTAATAATTTTGTACTCGTTATTGGTTCTCAGTCATAACTTGAAATTTAGGCCTAAGCTTTCCTTTGTTTTTAATTACTCATAGCTTGAGTAGTTTAGTGGAGTTTAAACCAGTTCCTGGTTTTCTGCTTTGTGTAAGACTTAACAAACATTAGGACTTCATACGTGATCAAAATGTAGGAACCATTGTTGACCTTATTTAATGTGTAGTGTCAACACGAAAGCAATTAATGATTGTTTGTTTTTTATCATATATCCTCATGCACACCCACACCACCCTATGGTTCAAAACTAAGCTTGAAGGCTTTTAATGCTACAGTTTGGGACTCTGTTCTTGTAGTGAGCACTGTATAGATAGCTCATTGTATAGCTTAACAATAGCTAATGTTAAAGAAGCAATATAGTAAATGTGCTTTGACCAAATTAGCCATGTTCAATAAAGGGACCATCCATGTCAAGATGTGATATCAACCCCCTGAAAATTTAAGCAATATAACATTATAAGCCCCATCCATGTAAAGGTTTTATCTACCCCCCCCTCCAACGTAGGAACACCACACTAGTGGTCAAACGTTGTACGTACTCCAACGTAGGAACACCACACTAGTGGTCAAACGTTGTACGTACTCCAACGTAGGAACACCACTCTAGCGGT